GTTATAAACTGTGAATGACCAGCGAATAGCTGCGATCCTCTGAATCGCAGCTAATCTCTGTGTCATAAACGGACACCTTGTTTCTGTGCTTTATCAATATCTGGACACACACTCGCAAAATCCTGAAAAACTAGTAAAATGCAGAGAGGGTGTGGGGAAAATGATTTTATAAACATGCCCCTTTGTTTACTTCTAGTACTGGTCCTGCCTGTCATCTTGTACAGCTGTGCAGTACCCCCAGGGCAGACCCTTGTTCTGATGCCAAATGTTTGTTTCACAGTTGTCATGTTCTGGAGTATCTGGGTTCCCACTTGTTTACCCCCTGAATGTGAATTCATCACCTCCTCCCTCCATAGCTTTTCTCAGCTGTTACCCTCCCCCGTGTGACTACACTGACTTCCCATTTGCTGAACCTAAAATATCCCTCGCTCACATCCCAGGACCGTGTCCCTTTCATTTCCATTGCCCTTTTTGATATATTGCTTGTTGGATGTTTCGGGTTGCTTCTAAATTTACAAAAACAACGTCCTGTGAGCCAAGCTATTATTTTTTATTAAAAGCCAAAAGGTAGCGTGTCACTTCTATTCCTATTGTAGTGTTCTTTGTTTTCATGTGTTTCATTCAGCTGCTGTCCTTTCAGCACTAGGAGGCCTACAGGGGCTGCCTGCTACTTCCTGATCCAAACAGCATCCTACGGACTCATTCTCTGTAGCCTGGGCTTTCTAATCTTGTTACAATTGTTTGTTTAGCATCTCTCTGTACCAGTTTTATGCCAGAGGTTTCTTCTACAAATGTTTCTGAAAGGTGTGTGATAAAAAACTGGATTTACATAGTAGCTGTTTCAGAACAAATCTTAATTAGTAAACATTTTTACTGATTGAGAAAGCAGCTTGCTGAATTGACATAAATGTCTGCAATCAGATATTGTAGCTAAGACTTAAAACGTATCATTTTAACAAGACCAGGTTTTTTTCCAGTTATATTTTGTTACCTTTATATGAGAGACCTTGTTCACGGAAACTTGGCTTCTGTTCCTGTCACTGTACTCACTGAATATGTCGGATTTGCATAGAATGACACAGGGAACTTTTTTGGTTTTTTTCTAAATATACAGGTGAAAGAATTTTTTAGTTTTTTTTTTTTTTTTTTTTTGTTTTTTTTTTCGTTTTTTTTTTTTTGTTTTTTTAAACAAACATACCTAGGTGGATGCTGCATTTGTCCAGCGCCGGCTAAGTGTGGGAGCTCAGCGTTCACATTACTGCTGATCGCTGAGTTTTTACAGCCGCTCTGAGCTCTGCCCCAATTTTCAGCTTTCAGTGCTGTCGCACTTTGACAATTGTATGGTCATGCATCACTGTACCCATATGAAATTTGTATCTATTTGTGCGAAAAAAATAGAGCTTTCTTTTGGTGGTATTTAATCACCACTGGGTTTATTTATTTTTTGCACTATAAAAAAAAAAAGACAATATTTAAAAAAAAAAAGTTTTCTTTGTTTCTATTATAACATTTTGCACACAGGTAGTGTTTTTCTCCTTCAATGATGTGCGTTGATGAGACTGCACTGATGGACTGCACTAATAGGCTGCTCTGATAATCAGTGCCTTGATTATCAATGTAAATGTCTCCTTTTACAGTTGCTGGGTATTGGCAGTGACAGCGTGAGGAAAGTACTGCTGATAACCGGCAAGTGTATTTACATGGTGATCAGCTGTGATTGGACACAGGTGATAACGTTATAAAAGGCCTTTGATTGGCCTTTTACCATGTCATGTGATCAGCTGTGTCCAAAGGACACAGAGAGCATCGGGTGCGTGCTGCTGGGGCGCGCGTTCTGGGAGGATCATAGGACACCCTCCCAGAATTGGAGGACCACACTGTAGCAGTCATTCGGCAATACTGCAGTCAAGAAGTGATCAGCAAGACCTGTACTGTGCCCTCTTCTTGCCATTTTTTTAGCAGTTTCAAAAAGACTGGTCACCATTATTGCCTGTAGGCTCCATGCAGCTGGTCATTCTCCTATAACTATCTTAAACTGATATTACAGGTTTGGCAAAAAAAAAAAACTAGCTCTGTGCAACGGTTTTGCACAGAGAAGCCCCGATCCTCCTTTTCTTGGGTACCCCACCTGCGCTCCTGGCTCCTCCCCATTATCTAGTGCCCCTAATAGTAATCCACTTGCTATGGGGGCACCGGTGCATGCTCTCTTCCAAGCCCTGTTCTATGCACCCATGAGACACATAGAGCTGCTGCTCAGCCCTGCCCCCACTCTCTCCTCATCAGCTCACTGACTGTGATTGACAGCAGTGGGAGCCAATGGCTCCTGCTGCTGTCTTAGCCAGTGGAGAGAGGGAGTCCCAGGACAAAAGAGGCTGTTGTGCACATCGCTGGATCTAGAGGGAGCTCAGATGAGTATAAGGGAGGGGCTGTGAGGGGAGCAGCCAACAGGTTTTGTACCTTTTATGTAAGAATGCATGACGGTAAAAAGACCTTCAACCTTTACAACCACTTTAAGCTGGCCATGCAGGAATTGAAATTCCGATAATCTATGGCCATTCCAGTTTGAGAAGTCTGTCTATTGACTGACTTTTCATAAAAGGCTTGAAAGAAATGTTTGCTTCAATCAGCGCAAGCAGCCAATTGGCTGCCATTGTATTCTGCCAGTAGCGGAGTCCACTATAATAAAACAGTGACACAACTGATAGGATCTCCACATCCACCAAATCTGTGTATGAGGGAATCAGTTCAGTTTTGTTTCCTCATTCAGCCCATGAACCATGTATGGCCAGCTTTACCATGCCTTGTTCTGCACAGCATCTTTCTGTGTGTGGAGGTGGCCATCTTGGCAGAGGCAGGATTTTGCTTTCCCATGTTAGAACTGGCCTTTGACTGGTGAAGAATATTCAGGAATTGGCTGGTTCCACAGAATGAATGAAGCAGAAGCAAGGGAGATTCTTAAACCGCAGGTCCTCAGGTACAGCTTTCTCACCAGCAAGAACAGTGAACATTTGAACAGCACAGTAGTGACATCACCAAGTATCAGTCTGGTGAGACTTAACAGTCAGAAGCAGCAATGCCCTAGATTCCAGCTATTAGGCTGTAAACATGAGAAGTACACGGCTTTAGTGTGCAGTATGCAAGAACAAATATCACTTCCATAAGTGAGACAATAGCTGCCTCTGGTGTAGTGATTTTTGTTTTTTTTTTTAACCACCTGCTTCCCAAGCCTATTCTAACCCCTTTCTCCTACATGTAAAAATCATCAGTTTTTTTGGTAGAAAATTACTTAGAACCCCAAAACATTGTTTTATAAGCAGAGGCCCTAGAGAATAAAATGGTGCGTGTTGCAATTTTTTATGTCACATGATATTTGTGCAGTGCTTTTTTTAAATGTTAACTTTTTGGAAAAAATATCTTTAATTTTAGTGAACACAATATAATGCCCATTTTTTGGTAAATTATAAAAGATGATGTAATGCCATGTAAATAGATACCAAACATGTCACGCTTTAAATTTGAGAATGCCTGTTGAACGTCACCAAACTACAGTACCTAAAACTCTATAGGTGATGCTTTAAATGCCTTTTTCAGGTTACAAGTTTAAAGTTGTACAGGAAGTCTGGAGCTAGAATTGTTGCTTTCGCTCTGATATTTGCTATGATACCTCACATGTGGTGTGATTGCCGTTTACATATGCGTGAGGGACCGACGCGTGCGTTCGCTGTTGCGCAAGCACGGGAGGATAGGGGTGCAATTAAAAAGATTTTTTTCTTTTTATTTTATTTGAATTTTTTTATTTTTACACTTATTTTTTTTTTTTCTATTACTTTTTATTAGTGTCACAATGAATATAAACATCGCTGATGACAATAATCTGCATTGACAGGTCCTCTTTACTGAGACATCTGGGGTCTATCAGATTCCAGATGTCTCCTCTGCCCTTAACAGCATCCGATCAGACCAAGATTGATCTGATCTGATGCTTGTACAAGCTAGTAATAGATAAAAGGTAGGAACCGGAACAAAATACTGCCCGCATCCGGTTCCTGATACCATAGAGGTGACCAGAGATGATCTGGTCTCTGAAAACCTCTATGGTAACCCAGCACAACTGCAAGGTTCAGTGCTGGGCTTCCTGAGCACATGGGGGAGTCCAGAGAAGCATCGTGGGGGGGGTTGTAATGACCCATCCCAGTGCCTGTAAACACAATCCAGTGGCTAATTAGCTGCTTGGATTGCTTTTACATACAAGAGAATCGCGGGCTAAGAAAAAAGTACCGAGATGATACCTGTAGCTGCAGGCATCATCCCGGTAGAACCACTTTACCTGAGGACATACAGGTACATCCTATGGGAAGGAGGTGGTTAAACATCCAATTAGACTGGGGTTCGGTATTTCGATACCACTATGTGCATGGTAACTCTCAGAAACCCTCAGATACTAGCTTGTTCTGTGTTCACATCTCAAAGGGCTAATATGTTTTGCCAAGTGTTAACATTTGGCTGTGGCTTTTGTCTGAAGTCTCTGCACAGACATTGCTAGAAATTAATCTACAGATATGCACCCCTCTCTGAAGCTTTCCTATGTATGCCACCTCCGTTTTCACACTAACACTAAATTCTCTTTGGAAATCGCTATTCTTTCCAAAATGACTTCTAAAACCAGATGCCACATAGGCTCGGAGTTAGATCAGCATAACCTCTTTATTGTCACTGGTAGGAAACGCTAGAATGAGCTGCTTCTTCCACCAAGCACATCATTTCTGAGCTTTACTGTGTGTGTTAAAGTAGTGCCCCAAGCAGTTCCCCATGATTTGGAGAACCGTGTTTAGAAGAACAGCTGTTTTTCATGATCTGATATCTCTCATAGCTTGGTAATCGTCTGCTCATGTTTTATTAGGTGCAGTACAATTTTGTACCTAGTTGCTAGTTTGCATCATGATGTACAGTTTATACATTGATAAAAACCGTTCTAAATATAATTTTTTTTTTCTCTCCAGATTCTTCTGCAAAGGCCCTTGTTAGTCTAAAAGGTAAGACATTCATGGTTCCGAAGTTATCTTTGTAATATTTTATTAAAAGCTAAAGTTTTTTTTTTTCTAACTTCGTCCATTGTCACTTTCCACCCCTAAGAATGCACTGCTTTAGACACAAACCTTAAGAGAAGTATGTCCAAAGTTTTTTTTTTTTTTTTTTTTTTTTTTTTTTTTTTTTTTTTTTTGTTTGTTTTGTTTTGGTCATACGTCTCTTTTGGGTTGCAGCAGTGCACTTACCTTTGTTTTCCGGTGACCCAGATTCAGCCTATAGCATACAAAAACCTGCTGTCAGCTGCCGTCGTAGAGATGCTCCAGGCTCTGGAAGGATCCTGACCATATTGTTGGTATCCACCCAGTTGCTTGATTGACAGCTGGCTCCACCTCTCAGTGCTCAGCTGAGTGCCAAAGCAAGCTGTACCTGCCCCCACTACAGTGAGCACTGAAGGGACAAAGCGGAGAGCAGTGACTGACAGTCACTGCTCTTCACTCCAAGAAGACTGAAAACTGCCATCAGCAGCCATGTGATCACTAGGTTCTCGGGTTTATTTTTTATTATATTTTATTAAAAATTTTTCATACAAAATAATCTTACAACCAGCATTTCAAAATACAAATTTTTACACAAATATACCCTATTCCCTTCACATCACTATTCCCCTTTTCACTTTCTATATTCTTATATTCTTTTGCTTCTAGTTCCTCAAATATTCTTTCAATCTACCTTCACCCCCTTCCTATCGTATCTCCTCTCTGTTGCCCTCCTACAAGACACTCCTTCGTTTCATTTAGGCTCTTCCTACTCTTTATACTCTGACCATTTCAAGGTATCTTTTTGATGGTTTAAAGTTGCACCATCTGCCCCATTTTTATTGTTTTGTTAATTTTTCCATTTGATCTACGTCCAAATGGTATAACTCCTCCATCATATATGTATACTCAACTCTATTTATCCAATCCTTTATTTTTGGTGGCTCTAGGGCTTACCAAAATGTATGTACAAGTCCTTTAGCCTCATTTATTAAATGATATATTACCCTGTTCTTATATGGAATAAACAAACCCACGGGTCCTTCGATATGATAATCCCCAGAATCTCTTGTATGTATTGGGTTATTTCTTGCCAGAACTTCAGTATTTTAGGGCACTCCCACTTTAAAATGTGTCATTGTTCCTTTCATCCCACTCCCCCTCCAACACAAAGGTGAGACTTCTGATTGTTGTTTGCATGACACTAGGCATAATGTACCATCTAACTAAACATTTATAATTCATTTCTACTGTATTCATATTCATCACCCCATGTGTTAATTTAAATATTTAATTTTTTTTGTTGCTCATTCAGTTTTGTTCCTACTTCCTTTTCCCACTTTTCTAAGTGCAATGGAGAATCTGATCCAGCCATTACAGTGAGGATCCTATAAATCCTGAAAGTGACATGTTTTTGAATTGTATTTGAACTAAACATTTGTTCAAATGGATACATATCCTCCACTGTCCTTAGTGGCTACGGGAGCGCTGCAACAAAGTGTCCTAATTGGTAGTAACGCAACTCATCTAATGTGAAAAATAAATCTTTTTTACTCTTTAAATCTTGAAAAGAACATAATTTCCCTTTGTCTACAGTATCTTTCAAATGTGCATTTCTATCTTGTATCCATTTTTCCGAAGTATTGTTTTTTCCCCGGTGGGAAAAACTATGTTCCAACCAATGGTATTAACAGTGAATTGTACTTCCATTCCATTTGTTTGTGCATTACATCCCATACCCTTAAAACATTCCGTGTCGAAGTGCTTGTATTTTCGTCCATTGTACGAAACGTTTGTGGAATCCAAATAATCCTATCTAAATGTGACTTACTAAGTGTACTTTCTATTTTTACCCAGCTTCTCCCCCGTGAGTTATATATCCAATCTGCTATTCGTGATAGTAGCACCGAATGATTATATTTCCTGAAGTTAGGCAAGTTTAAACCCCCTTTCCCTTTTATCATTACACAGAACTTCATATTTAAACTCTTGGTTTTTAATTTACCCATATATACCTAAGTATCATTTTTTTTTAGGGTCGGAAAGAAAGACCCTGGTAAATATATTGGTAACTTGTGAAACATATATAAGATTTTTGGTACGATCACCATCTTTACCATTTTTATCCGACCTATCCAGGAAAGCCATCCCAATGAAGTTTTTCAACTCATCCTTTATCTCGTTTATTAATGGTATATAATTTGCCTGATATATATTCTTTATGGGGGGAGTTAACTTTATTCCTAGATAGCTTAAATCTTTTTCCTTCCATGTAAAGGAGAATTCTTTTTGTAGAGTCTGTTTCTCTGTCTTTGGAATATTAATATTTAATACTCTGACTTTGAGGGGTTAATTTTTATGTTTGATAGCTTTCCATAGTATTTTAATACTCTCGTTAAATTAGGTAACGTTAATCTAGGGTTTACAATATAGAACAACATATCATCTGTGTACGCCGCGAGCTTGTGTTCCACATCTCCTATCCTAATTCCTGTTACGTCTACACTCTTTCGTACTGTCGTTAATAACAGATCCAGAGATATTACAAATAGGGGAGAAAGTGAATAACCCTGTTTTTGTTCTGTTGTACATTTTAAAAAACTGTGATAGGGACACATTGACCTTCACCTCTGCTGATGAGCCACTATATAGCCTTTTTATCCACTGTAACATTTTTGGTCCAATTCCTAATGGCTCTAACGTATCTATCATGAATCCCCAGTCCACCCTATCAAATGCTCAGAATTATCGTCGGCATCCTTTCTTTCCTTGCTTTTTGCAGGAGTATTGATCTTTGTCCGTTGTTCCTACCCACTTGATCTAAGTGTATCCAGTCTGGCATCAACTCTTTCATCCTGGTTGCTAGTACTTTAGCATATACTTTTGTGTCTATACTTAATAATGATCTAGGTCTGTATTTAGCACATTGTGTCCAATCCTTCCCTTCCTTAGATATGATTGTTATACAGTCAGGTCCATAAATATTGGAACATCGACACAATTCTAACATTTTTGGCTCTATACACCACCACAATGGATTTGAAATGAAACGAACAAGATGTGCTTTAACTGCAGACTGTCAGCTTTAATTTGTGGGTATTTACATCCAAATCAGGTGAACGGTGTAGGAATTACAACAGTTTGCATATGTGCCTCCCACTTATTAAGGGACCAAAAGTAATGGGACAATTGGCTTCTCAGCTGTTCCATGGCCAGGTGTGTTATTCCCTCATTATCCCAATTACAATGGGCAGATAAAAGGTCCAGAGTTAATTTCAAGTGTGCTATTTGCATTTGGAATCTGTTGCTGTCAACTCTCAAGATGAGATCCAAAGAGCTGTCACTATCAGTGAAGCAAGCTATCATTAGGCTGAATAAACAAAACAAACCCATCAGAGAGATAGCAAAAACATTAGGCATGGCCAAAACAACTGTTTGGAACATTCTTAAAAAGAATGAACGCACCGGTGAGCTCAGCAACACCAAAAGACCCGAAAGACCACGGAAAACAACTGTGGTGGATGACTGAAGAATTCTTTCCCTGGTGAAGAAAAACACCCTTCACAACAGTTGGCCAGATCAAGAACACTCTCCAGGAGGTAGGTGTATGTGTGTCAAAGTCAACAATCAAGAGAAGACTTCACCAGAGTGAATACAGAGGGTTCACCACAAGATGTAAACCATTGGTGAGCCTCAAAAACAGGAAGGCCAGATTAGAGTTTGCCAAACGACATCTAAAAAAGCCTTCACAGTTCTGGAACAACATCCTATGAACAGATGAGACCAATATCAACTTGTACCAGAGTGATGGGAAGAGAAGAGTATGGAGAAGGAAAGGAACTGCTCATGATCCTAAGCATACCACCTCATCAGTGAAGCATGGTGGTGGTAGTGTCATGGCATGGGCATGTATGGCTGCCATTGGAACTGGTTCTCTTGTATTTATTGATGATGTGACTGCTGACAAAAGCAGCAGGATGAATTCTGAAGTGTTTCGGGCAATATTATCTGCTCATATTCAGCCAAATGCTTCACAACTCATTGGACGCTGCTTTTTGCAGATGGACAATGACCCAAAGCATACTGCAAAAGCAACCAAAGAGTTTTTTAAGGGAAAGAAGTGGAATGTTATGCAATGGCCAAGTCAATCACCTGACCTGAATCCGATTGAGCATGCATTTCAGTTGCTGAAGACAAAACTGAAGGGAAAATGCCCCAAGAACAAGCAGGAATTGAAGACAGTTGCAGTAGAGGCCTGGCAGGGCATCACCAGGGATGAAACCCAGCGTCTGGTGATGTCTCTACGTTCCAGACTTCAGGCTGTAATTGACTGCAAAGGATTTGCAACCAAGTATTAAAAAGTGAAAGTTTGATTTATGATTAATATTCTGTCCCATTACTTTTGGTCCCTTAATAAGTTATGCAAACTGTTGCAATTCCTACACCGTTCACCTGATTTTTATGTAAATACACTCAAATTAAAGCTGACAGTCTGCAGTTAAAGCGCATCTTGTTCATTTCATTTCAAATCCATTGTGGTGGTGTATAGAGCCAAATATGTTAGAATTGTGTCGATGTCCCAATATTTATGGACCTGACTGTATATGCCTGCAGCGATTCTTCCCTCATTTCCAACCCTTTTTCTAATGCATAGATATATGTACATATTTTGGGGACAAGTTGTTCTTTAAATTTCCTATAATAACCCAAAGTATAGCCATCTGGTCTTCAATGCAATAACAATTTCCTCCTGTGAGATTGATTTTTCTAAGGCTAGTAATTTTGCTTCTTCCAGTCTTGGTAAGGTGGCATCCTTTAAATAAATCTGCCTTTTTGTCTTTCTCCCTGTGATTCTTTCTGATTCTTAGATTTTACTCCATATAGACTACTATAACATTTTTGGAACGTGTTGGCCATATCAGTGTTTGAATGTACCATTTCTCTTGTTTCATCTTTGATTTTTTGCTATA